AGAGCAGAGAGAAACTGGAGCTGCTTTCGCGAGAAGATCAAAATGATCCGGATTAAAATGACCCTGTGCTATGATTGGTCAAATCTGAAATTTCATTGAATAAAATTTCAATGTGATGCTACGAAACTTCAGATTTGACCAATCATAGCACAGGGTCATTTTAATCCGGATCATTTTGATCTTCTCGCGAAAGCAGCCCTAGAGCACCGGAATTAAGTTGGCGCTGGGAGTTCATATTTTCGTATAAAACCTAGCTCAAACGATTGCTCCCGAATTGCTCCATTAGAATCCACAATTGCTCCACTTTTAAAATTTGAGAGCGACCACGCCGGTGTTTCACTTGTTATGCCCGTTCTACACCTAGGGATGATCCTACTTGTGGCTCATCCGATATCCCTTCAATGCCTGCGTTCGTTTTCTCCCACCGGGAGCATAAACTATACTGAAAGTCTATAATTTACGTAACGTAAATAAGCTGCAAGTAGGATTAGCTTAAAGCCCGTATCAGACTACGGATTGGGATTGGGATTAGATTGAAATTTAACCAATCACAGTAAAGTTTACTAATCTTAAGTTCAGTAACTTTTACTCTGATTGGTCAAATTTCAATCTAATCCCAATCTCAATCCGTAGTCTGATACGGGCTTTAGGTATAGCTTGCGTTCATTTTCTCCCACTGGGAGTATAAACTACACTGAAACTTTATAGTTTACGTTACGTAAATTATAGACTTTCAGTATAGTTTATGCTCCCGGTGGGAGAAAACGAACGCAGGCATTGAAGGGATATCGGATGAGCCACAAGTAGGATCATCCCTAGGTGTAGAACGCGGCATTACGGGCGACTAGCGGTACACCTGTTTATCCGCGGTAGGTACTTCAGTGAGCCTTCAGATCGACGCGCATGCGCTCAAAAGCGCGACCAATCCTGACGTCGCTGCTGCCACCGCTGCGCGCGCACGAACCGGTCTAGTGGAAATACCCGCAGTGTGGGAAAGCGCGCAGGGCAAAATACAGAGCGGGCGTCGCGCGCGGAGAACGGCGCGAGGGGAGGGGCTTGACACGCGCGCTGCGCCGCGCGAGAGTCTCCGAGAGATTCAGCGCGAGGGAGCGAGATGCGCGCTGCGCGCTATATATGTATGTCACCGAGGTGGTGTGCTCGTCGCTCGGATACCCCGTCTACGCGAGAGAGAGCTGGCCGATTGAATATTGATAGAGCGCCGCCGACGTTTCGCGCGCCGGGATGACGCGCGAGTAACCGGGAGCTGCGGGGGGGCCCGGAACGGTGTGTTGCGTCGCGGACGCCCGCGGGACGGCAGCTAGAATGCGCGGCCGCCCTCGCCGCAGCGCGTACGTGTCGCAAGTGAGTCGAGCTCGCGATGGACGCGGCCATGTTTCCTGCTAGCAGAAATCCTGTCCGTTAAGTGACTCGCCGCCTGATCGTGTTGCCACCGGAAGAGCGGAGCGTGCAGAATGCCGAAATGCGATGTGAAGACGAGGTATCTGCCAGCTACGTTCGCGTGGACGGTCCTACTCGTCACCACGGCGCTCTTCTTCATATTCCCGTAAGTTGTCCCTTTCTCTTTCTCTCTCTCTCTCTCTTCTCTCTCCGCCGCCTCCTCTCTCTCGATACCGTGCGCGAGCACGCTCGTCCGAGACGGAGCTCCCCTTTGCTCTCTGTGTCTCTCTCGGGGTAGGTCGCCGCTGAATCTCACGTGTTCGTCCGCAGGTCGACTTACTATGTCTCTCACTGGGGCTTGTGGGTACCGGCTCTGCAAGGAGTTATCACCTTCTTCGTGGTGATCAACTTCTCGCTGGCGACGTTTATGGATCCCGGTGTTATACCAAAAGGTAACTCGAAATTAGATACACTCGTGACGAGTCGCGGACGCGGTAGGCAATGTGATATTTTGGGTTTTTTGCCCCATTGAAGCGCCTCCTGACGAAGACCGGGAGGATGACTTCCGGGCTCCGTTGTACAAGAGCGTGGAGATCAACGGTATCACCGTGCGCATGAAGTGGTGCGTCACCTGCAAGTTTTATCGACCTCCACGTTGCTCACATTGCAGCGTCTGCAATCACTGTATCGAGGTAAGTTCCCTACGTCGGAGCGAAGCCGGCGGGAGATCCTGACGGGCTCTGTGTTTCTTCTTCCAGACATTCGACCATCACTGCCCGTGGGTGAATAACTGCATCGGTAGGAGGAACTACAGATACTTCTTCTTCTTTCTTCTGTCGCTCAGTCTTCACATGCTCAGTATATTTGGGCTCTGTCTATATTACTTGCTGGAGCACAAAGAGCGCCTGAGCGAGGTCAACACTATTGTTGCGTATCCTTTGCACGAAAGACAGTTTCCGAAGCGCTCGTGAAGAGACGTGCGGCCGCGATGGCGCTAGGGATTAGTAACGTCTAATGTCGATTAGGTTCCTTAATCCCGGCTGTGCAGTCTCATCCTCATGGGAGTGGTGATGCTCCTGTTCATTCCAATCTTTGGACTGACCGGCTTTCACGTGGTCCTCGTCTCCAGAGGACGCACCACGAACGAACAGGTAACCGGCAAATTTAACGGCGGCTACAATCCCTTTTCTCGTGGTTGTCTGCGCAACTGCTGTTACACACAGTTTGGACCACAATACCCAAGGTATTGCAAGGAGCCAAGGTATTGTAAAATTAATGCCGTATGCGGGGATTATTTTGTTGTAATGAATTTTTCTCCGTGCCCTTGCAGCTTACTTAAGCCTGATAAGTATTCAGGGAAGCGACGTGGAGCGTGCGCGTCAGAGATATCTACCATAGGCAGTGAGAACCAGGTAAAGACCTACATGGATAGCAGCAATGGTGTTAGAAATGCCAGTTCAAATGCTTACAATAAGGTAAGAGCTAGCGCAGTCTCGCTTATCTTTGTAAACAACGTGACTTCGATCCGGAATCTGACGCTTGTACACGAGCTTGTATTGTTATTATGATTTTGTACCCTTACTACTAGCACAGTTGAACAAAGTTTAATCAAAGCCTATATCTCGAGCATTCTACTTATACGCAGTTTTCAAGCATGCACAGCATGGCTAGCGACATGGTTGTACCACTGTTACGGTAATTGTAAACAGTTTCGTATGCAGTTCCTTAGTACTAGCTTTGTAGTACATCTTTGTATCTTACTATAGAAACTAATGTACACGTATATTCACGTCCTTATCACTACGTCTGTAGAGTATGAGTTGCAGCGACGACACCTCTATCAGTACCGTTCAGTCCAGAGTCCTAAGATGCCTTCACTGATTTCCCCTTATGGTTTCCGGCTTATGCATATTCCATTCGTCCAAATTGATCCTAATATTCATAGGAAATATATGTAATGTATAATACGGAGGAATATATTGTAACGTGTCATACGTACGGTGTGAATCTGTTTCTCCGGCGCGACCGATGACACCGTTGCTTCCTCATTACAGTTGTCTCCCGGACGAGATGGATCGGACACAGACATGGAACCGACGGCGTCTCAGTCCGCGGACTGCGAACCCACGCCGCCGTTGCAAAGACACGGTTCCAAGAGCAATTTCTTCCTGCCACCTGTGGAGAACAACGAATCTCCCAGGCATCCTCCGCCGTCGCAGCTTCGCCATCCAATACATTATCCTAGAGGCAGTCCACATCCGAGGCCAAGGTACTCGAGACAGTTGTAACAGCGACAGCCAACGCGCAAAACGCTCTGGCGCGATGCTTACGTAACATATCGTGTTCACAGAGGGATGAATGGATCTCGAAGTCACACACCAGACCCGTTATCACCGGAGACGAGTGGTTCGCCGGCCACGGTACCTCAGCGTCAGGGTGGCGCCAGCCCGACGATGCAACAACGTATCAAAGCTATTGGAGTACCCACTCCGCTTGCCATATCCAGTCCCATACGAAGGTACATCATACTTGTGCTTTATTACTAATAGAACGGTCGAGATATATATTGGCTCGATATGGAGAAATCTTCTGATATAAACACATTTACACGCAATACAAGAATAATGAGGGATAAATTGATTGAGTGCTTACATCTGGTCAAGTCTTATTCGTGATATTCGAATATTTATATACAATTTCAGATTTCAGAATTATTTTTAATTATATATATATATATACATTTATACATATCTCGCGATTCTCACATTGCACAAAATTATCTCAATGTAGAGAGCAAGAGGGAAGCGCCACACTAGTAATAGTTACAATGCATCTCTTGAGCACGCTGCCAATACAAAGTGAACGATGTTCCTCTTATGATATCCTTTTTGCTACCCTTCGATATGATGTCGGCCTGTTTTGTCAAGATCTCCTGTCCCTCACTGTCAAACACCTCACTCTTGCTCTTCTCTCTATCTCTCTGTCTTTCTCTCCTCCTCTTCTGTCACCACTGTTCTCGCCTTCCGGAGGACGAAGGAACGTGTGAAAAAAAGAAGGAAAATTACGCAATGTAGCTTACAATAAATATCGTAGAGGACTAGTCTCTCTGCATGTACATATTACAAGATATATGGTATATAGAAAAGTTTGTGTCCCACTGCAGGGGGTGGTAACTGCAAGGAGCTGCTTTCTACCATCATGTTGCAACCTACTGCAGGTAAACACGAACTTGATCCTACGAGGACATACCGTAGTTTACAATTATGCTTTCTTGCATATATCTTTGTATATATAGAAAAACATGATTGTAAAAGTTCACATACGACACACGCGCGCGCGCACGCGCGTACACACACACCACACACCACACACACTTACTTCTTAGGTTCGCTATCTTTTATGTTTCTTGAATAGATGCTAATTTCTTAACAGGAATGATGCGCTGCTCTCTCTCCTGTATGTCTCGCCAGAGCCGTATTTGTATGGCTACAATGCTCAAGCACTCGCTATTCATCTTGGTTCACTGTACTGTGCATTTGTCGATTATCGAAAGCATCTTGCGCCGCGGAGGATCTCGGGGGGATCTAAGATCGGCTGTGTCTGTTACAGATCAAACCCGGGTACACCGACGCAGGTCCGTCGGCCGGATTTCATCGGCGTGAACGAAGCGCCGACGTATTACGATGTACAGCAGGGAAACCACACGGGAATCGGCGTTCCCGGTTCCGTCATTACTGGCTACAGCCCGCAGCGGCGTTTCCTGTCGGAGAGCGAGCTCGTGCGGCAGGGCACCGACCATCCGTACTCGAGGACCAACAACACGGTCGACAACATACGCGAACTGGCGGGCTCGCCGCAGCGCGGCGTCTACATGTGGAAGGACAACTCTCCCGGCAGCTATCCAGGCCCACCCCCCGGGGGAGCGGGGAGCGGCGCGCCCCATCAGTCGCCCTCCCATCGACCGCCCCCGCCGTACGACTACTATCGCTCCAATCCCACGAGTCCGACTCAGCAGTCGCAGTACACGATGAACGCTCCCAGGCCACCGTTGCATCCAGCTCTGAGGGGCGGAGTGCCCGTCTTCCCGCCGCATCCATCGCACCAGTCGCCGCAGGTCAAACGGAAAGCGACCACGATGGCGACGCCCACCACGCCGACCTCGGGAGACGCGCGGCGTCGACCGATGTCCTTCGTCAGAGCCCTGGAGATGACCGACTCCATGGAGATGGTCTCGGCGCCCAACGATCCGAGGTCGCAGAGGCCGACCACGCCGACGCCGGACCGTGCGAGCGTATACGATATGAACTACGAGATATCCGTATAGCCCACCTTTCCGGTCTCCGCACCATCCTGTGGCTGGACGGAGATTCTACGAGAGCCGCCGAGTAGCCTGCATGTCTTACGCTCCAACGAGGAAAGGATGTATGCCGTTTACGAGATATCCGTCTGAATTCTTCCGCGATCGATGCAGTTGCGCGCGTCTAACGTTACACGTGGACAGTAAACGTAAACCGCGGCTGGTTCTTCAGTTTCGTTTATCGCCATGGGATTATAATTCTTACCGAATACCGAGCATCGGGACTTGCCACAAGCAATCAGGATACGCGTGGTGTGCACATCTGATAAGTTGCCATCAGTGATGTGTGTGTGCGCGCGCGCAAATCATATCGCGATTGACAGTACATAGTATTTATTATCGGCGAGGAAGTCGGCCCGTTGACGCATTTAACGTTGTGAATTCGTGGGAGGCAGTAAATACACGATGAATCCTTACTTCTCCAAATCTTCCTTTGGCAGTGGAATCTTACGGCACGACAGTCACCAGAGCTTGCATTTTACGCAAGACGAAGCAACGTATTGGTAATATCTTATGATTAGTCGTCGTTAATGAAGAAATAGATTCCATGTGCTTAGCAGCAAAGTATGTCCGTTACGTCGAGAAATACCAGCGTTCGGTCCGACTGACGATCCGAATTAATGAGTCACGGAGGAGTCAACGAAAGTATATCCCGAGCGCACAGAGGTTGACCTTTATTGGAACCATCGCCGATAATCGGTCCTCTCGCTTGACAGAAGCAATTATATTTTTTAGTACACGTTTAAGGTCAGTTTAGATTTTTATACAATGACACCGTGACTCATCCTCCTATAGAATAGAAATGTTAATCCAACGTCATCCTTTTCTTTTTCTTTTCCTCGTTCATATCTCCATTGCCGACAAGGCGCGAGTGATTTGAGAAAAACTAAACAGAAGCACTAGGGATCACTTGATTATATCCTTATTAGCTCTTCGGATACCAGAGGAGTCCATTAAAAATGAAAAAAAAGGGGAGTTACTTAACCAACTTAAGTCATTATCGGGATAGAATAACAAATCTGTGTAAAATAATCGTGGAATATGTAGCAAATTTTTAATATACATATTTAACAGTATTTATACGTAAATGATTAAAAAAAATATAAGACTTTATAATTTGACTTGTTTGTTATAAATGATGATTTATCGATGTGCCCACTAACATATTTTATTTCTATATAAAGGGTTCGCAGAAGAGAATATGTGAAAGTACGAGTGTAAAAGAAAAGTTAACGTGCGAATGAGAGGAATGCATTTTCAGAAGAGTGAAAAGTACACAGGTCTAGTTTTCTCAAATGTACACAGGGGTGGCTGTTCATAATATATGCGCGAACGTAAAGATAGAAACTATTTTGATTTTGTTAAAGAGGAACGCAAAGAGAGAATTGTAATATACGCATTGCATAAATCCATTGCTGCATTCATCGCTGCTGTTAAATTTGTGATATACATCCCGCTTTTGAAATTGCATGATGGTTTCTCTATGGTGTATGTGTATAGGAAGCCAATATAATTATATCGGCTATAATTACATTGCTACAGGCTGCAACGCGATACTAATTGAATTTTGCGTACGCACTCGATTCACGATGGAATCGACTTAGTGTTACACGACACATATCATTTTGACGTCAGACATCGAATATTTTTTAGAATTGAAACAAAAATTTGCATTTGGTATTAACGACTGCTTGACTACAGAACACAATGTTATAACGAGGATTATAAGCATTTCTTCCGTATCTCTTGATAAGCTACATTTAGGATCCGTTTAACAGACTCGTTTTGTTTCTATTAAGATAACAAACTGTGTGCCAAAAAATTCCCCCGTACTATTCAATCGTGTAGTCTTGCTTGAAATAGCATTTAATGAGACAACGGTACAACGTTACAAATTGATTAAGGTAATAATGTGTAAGGTATGGCGAGTGTTAAGTGTTTATAATTCGGTGTATTTGTACATAAATATTGCTCGTTACTTCTATCACTTAAATGTACATACATATATCATTCGGTACTTACGTATCGCCGCAGCAATCTACAGAATAAAAATCATGAAACATAGTAAATTATACTGTGTTGTATCGTGGTAATATTTTTTTATGTGACGTTTTTCGTTTTTCTATTAAGCCTATTGTTTTACCGAAGGAAAAGAGAAAAGTCATCGATGGACTAAACGCGTTTTTAAATTCAACAACCGACTGATTGTAAAAGAAAATATTTTATTCGAATTAAAGTACATCTCGACTAAACAAAAATATTGCACGAGGATGTATCTGGCATCAACGCACGTGTTTTTACAATGTTTCACATTACGCTTCGCAAATTCAAATATATGAGCTACTTAAACTTGAGTTATTCAAAATGCAATTAACTTGGAAATTGGAAACAATTCCTTTTCAGTGTTAAGAAATGCTTATTATTCGTTCACTATGTTAAAATAAAGACAATCTGATTTCAAATTAAAAAACATTGCTAAAAACTTATTAACTCTAACAAGTTATTAGCAATACGAAACTAGCTAACAAATCAGTGTCAATTGCTTATCCGTCTTGAGAAATATCTTGGGAATGTTAAACTATTTTAGTTTTAAATAATTAGCATTTATACATATATATATATATATATTTACAATCAGGGATCTGTGTAAACAACGTTATATAATTCTGTTGATGATATTAAATATAACTTGCAACGGTCCTAACAGTTCTAACTTCTTCAATGTTCTCGTTTCGTCGGACGATTAATGTGCATCTCCCGTTTCCGTATCTAGATTTAATTTGAATATAACTTTTAAAGTTTTATACAAAATAGTAAACTGATACGTATAAAGTAACGAAATGAATCTCACCATGATATGATGTGCGATGTTTCACACTCTCATTGAAATATATATTTGGATGTTTAAACAAGGCGTCGTTAAAGCAATCGTGTTTAATTTCGTAACACTTGTTACAAGCTGCAGAATACTGACCGTCCTCGGACAATTTCATTATCGTCGATCTCTCTGATTTAAATTAGTTAACAGACGAAAGAATTCGCCTCATTGATCGTATAAATTAATATTAACATAATAATTTCGATGCTCACCTAACGCGTTGAAACCGCAGTCAGTAAGCTCGTCCTCGAGCATATCGTGCAGCATATGTTTAAAAGGGCATCCGTGATGATCTCTAGGTCCAATGGTCGACTCCATAATTTTGAGACACGTGTAAGGCTGATAATCGCGTCGACTACCTTTCTGCCCGAAGACAAATCTCACGGTATAACCGTGTTCTTTGTCGAACGCAGCATCGTCCATTACTTTCGTGAATTCGTCTCTCAAAAAGGTCATTGTGTCGGACAGGGAGAGCCCGATGCCCTTCAGGAACAAACAGAACTGTACTCTACCGCCATGTGTAAGATGGTGATTCTTCCTTAGCGCCTTGTGAAGCACTCTCATACAGAGAGGATAAGACGTTTCCGCAAGCTACAACAATACAATTGTTATTTGCAACACAAAGTTCGGCGTATGAAATTTAACTGTTATAGCTGCGTAAGATTCGAACATCATTTTTGTCTACCCATTAGTTGCAAGATTCTTTACGATTCGACATTAAGTAGAGCATTCATCACCTTATCTAACTGGTTGAACGAAACGTGTTGTTGTATCTCTTCGTCCCGTAATAGAATAGTACTCTCGGTTTGAATACTGTCTTCCAAATGGGCAAAAATCCGAGTGAACCTCTCGTCATTGTACAAATTGGCTCTAGTTTCGCGTGCTGTCTGGCAACATAATGGCAGAATAGAAAACTGTGACAGTTGAGAACCACATTAATCATGTTTATGCTCACTTCGAAACTTGACAAGAGAATTCTTCGGAAGTACGACACGAATAAAAATGCCATCTCCCGTTCGGGTACAAAAGCTTCGCCCTGCGTAACAAAAACTTTACGCTTTTTAACTAGATTGGCTATATCGGAAAAAGGCACTTTGTAAAACTGCGTGTTGTCAATATCGTCAACGTTTGGAGAAGACGCTTGAAGATATTCCTTGATAGCCTCCTTCTCGCTCCGACTAATCTGAAAGCAACGAACAGAAAATTGCTGATCCGAGATTTGAGAAACGCTAGATCCACACAATGTTGCAATAACCGACCGGTGTCAGGTCGAAATTGTTAACGCATATAAACTGCCTGATCCCTTCGCTATCTAACGAGGAGAATCGCATCTTGAACAGCCTCGCTTCTTGCTTAAAAAACCAGCGTTTCTTGATGGCATTGAAGGCGATTGCGGATCTTAGTACAAAGTGAGATACGTGATCTCTTCTTCGGGCACGGACATCCATATCGGTGTGCGATCTGCATCCAGAACTGTCAACCAATCTCGCAAATTCGTCCATCTCTTCCTTGTGCAGCTCCTCGACCAAGGCAGCTCTGCGTTGAGACAACGACATTGTCAGCTTCAGCAAATGGACACGCTCCACCAAACAGAGAACTACGATATACGAAATAAATTGAACATTATAAAAAGTACATTAATATTCCATTAATGTGAATAAATAAATAGGAAAGACAGATTGAAATTGAAATAACCTTTGAGGCGTGTTTCACAGATTTCCTCCAGCTCGTCTAACGTTGTCTCGCCAAACGGAACGTTCTGATACAATTGTAAATCATGAGAATACACATCACCAGGATTCCTCGGCGAAAGTTTGAGAGGAGCTTCAAGTCTCATTGTGGAGATCATTCCGAATATCCGAATTCTAGCAAACTTTAACGGAATTAAGAGTGCAGACTACAACAACAAATCAAACAAATAAACTAATCAACTCTTCCTCAAGTGCTTTATTAATCATTAAAATTGGTAAACACTGCTGGACTGTACGTGCGTATTATATTTAAAAGAACTTCGTGAACTCGTTGAGAGACCTCTAGTGTCCTATGCTTTAATTCAAATGGAAACTAAACTATTCGTTTCCCCTAGTTTCCCCGTCTTCACGATCTTAAAGGCCTGTGTCCACCATGCTAAAACTTGGTATAAGCTGCAAGTTGATTGGCTACACCGCGGGGGTGGTTCACAAAGGGCGACTTGAAATCGCAAAACTCGAGAATCTCGAAAACTGGCAAAGTATCAGGAGAACATGATTAGCAAAGAGGTGGCACTATTTCAATTTCCAAGAATTAGAACTCCGGGATTTTTAAACTTCAAATCGCGAAAATCCAGGATCCGGAAAATTGGCAAAGTATC